TCAAAGATCATCAAATAAAAAGATAAATCTTTCACAGTTTTAGAGACTGAATCTGCTAACTTTGCAATTGGTGAGTCGAATGAAAATGGAGCCAAAAGAAAAAAATACTTTACTTAAATTTTTAGCTGCCTTCGACTTGAGAACGGGTATTCTGAAGTCAATAGCACCCGAATACAGCGTTTTTGATTGTTTCTTCTGTTTTGAGTCGATTTAACCAAAGTGTTTCGCCAGCAAACGTCGCGGGGTGGAAAGCACCGGCGGATGAAGTTCCCGGCGTAAAGTTCACTGAGTGTGAGCGAGTGAGTAATCGCGTGTGCTTGACAACAGGACTCCTTTTTTATAACTGCAGCATTTATTACTCACGTTTACTCGAGAAGACCACACCAAAAGTACAGTAAAACTTGCCATTTCTGTTAGTGCTTTGCTTCGCGGTCGAGCGAAGATGACAGCGACTTGAGGGTTATTTCGAAGCGGGAGTAAGACGTGGCCCTGGATGGGTAACAGATAAGACCATCAGCTAGTAATCTGCTTGCTGGATTATAGCTATGTCTTTATGAACTATTTGCTATGCTTTTCAGACATTCCAAAGCTGCTTTAACGGATCAGTTTTTATATGTGAACATTTCTAATCCATCTGAAAACTATTCTTAACTAAACGTTTCCTTCGGACATAGCTAGTTTTTCGTATTCATGGTGGAATATTGCTCATATATTGATTATTGATTGGCTTCTATTAGTGTATTACTATATTTTATTCATAGTATTACAGAAGCTCTACTATATACATATTTATCTAAGAGCCTAACTTTAATATTAAATTAAAGACATTAGATTACAGATTACAATTCTAATAATGTCTTACATAATCAATATTGAGTCATAAGTGGCTAGGAAGACTTCTCAATTCACATATCACATGACTGGACATTAAATTGGATTCCTGGAAATGAATGAAGCATCTTCGTGCTAGCTTTCTAACCCTCGCTGACTACTTAACTGTGCGTGTCCGTGTGTGAGCTGGAGGACAATAGGTCTGTAGCGCTTAAGTCTTAGTGAGCAGGAGTTGTGCGAACAATAGTTAACAAGACAACCCGTTGCCCCAGATAGATACGAGCAAGGCATCTTTTGGGAACTGGGATTATTGTTATGATTGTACCTCGAATGCTTTATGCCAATTCGAGTTCGAATTCCAGTTTGGGCGAACAATAGCGCTTCACATATAAAAACATTAACTTTTGTCCCACTGTCAGCGACACGGAGCGGCAGAAGGAAACCCAAATCGAGCTAAGGAGGATCTCCCAAGTTTCCGACACAATGGCAAAGACAATCAAAAGTTGAGTCAACCCTATTTCGGCTTAAGTTTTATGTTACTTTTATGTTTTTCCAATTTTTCACGTTCAAGCGATTTTCGAAAATATGTGCACAGGATTTAGGTGCGCTTTTCCCTAAAAACTCGCGTCCGTAAGACTCCCTCCCTGAGCAATTCATTTCAATAGAAATGTAAATAGCAAATTTTCATAATAATTGAAATGGATTTGCCGGAAGGAAAACCCCTAAGGGTGGCTCACAGACCAACCCAGACGAGAATTGGATGCGGCAAGTCTACAGTCGAGAGTTCCTTAAGTCATTTGCCTCCATGCTCAAGCGTTGCAAACGACGTCGATGATTTATAAACTGTTTTCAATTGAATTGAAAGAGGGTTTTCAATCGATTTTACGGTGCATACATAATGTCGATTAAAAGAAATAAACACAGCCAACAATTCGTAACCCTCTCATTGTCAAAGAGCCAAGGAAAATCGAAGAGTTTCGAAATTTCATTTACACATTTGACTCGAGCCAAAGCTTTATAAGTGTAAGGGATAATATTAGTTAATAGAAATAATTCCCAAGCGTCTATAATCTGAGTGGTTCATTGAACTTATGGTCAACTAGTTAAAACTTAGATAATGAGCTGAACTATCTAAAAATTTATATACTTTCAAATAGGTAGAAAACGTATCATCGAGGCCAGTTCTTTTGTCCCTAGTCATTCTTCTTGTCCAACATCAACAAGGCATAAGCAGATTCATAAATAAAACTAGTTTAAAGCTAAAAATTGATTCCATGAAACTTATCTACAAATCAGGGACTCGAGCAATTAATAAATATTATTTTATAAAGTTAATAATGAATGAAATAATAAAACTGTAAGAAGTTAACTAGTTCCAGTTGAGCTTCATTATGTTTATCTAAGTTATGCGATTTACAATTCTAGCAATGAAACTAGTTCCAGCTGAACTTTAATTTATAGTTAATAAGCTAATTTAAATTTAAAAATCATAAGCTTCCGCCACAACATAACTCAAGTTTCTTAAAATTCAGCGGAATTTAAAACTAGTTCCAGCTGAACTTTAACCAATTTGAACTTTAACACTGCTTAACTTTCCTGGCCGTCTTATCTGGGAACCACTTGAACTCAGCTCAGCGAACATCTATCAAAATCTCTAACAAGACTGCAATTACATTGAAGATAAATGAAGCAAAAAGAAAGTTTTTTCATATATATATATATATACGTTTTTGATCAATTACTACCCAAAAATTAACATTAATTTGCAGTGTCAGTGGCTGGCGGCATTTTGAACCTTACACTTCCTGCCCCCAGGCAACCGGTTCCAGCTGGATCCTTTTGTTTGCAGGATCTTTTGTTTTCGTCCAGTTACATGCCTTGAGTTTTGCACGTGTGCACAAATTAGCAGAACTGGTTCCAAAAAGAAAAATAGAGGAATACCTTGTGTTTTTCTTCAATTAGAAAAGGAACCACATGAAAGTAGTTTGGCACCAGGGGCGCTTTTACCTAATGCCATTGTTCCCAGCCAGATGGGCAGCCAATGGAAATTAGGAAAATTCTATTGTTTTCCAAATGTTAGCTAAGCCTAGCAGGGAGTATTCCATAACTAAGTTAAGCTGTACAGATGGAGCCTTATTTATAGATAAAAATATGCTTTATTTATAAGCTAAAATTTAAAATTATTATAACAAATACAGACTTTATGGCAAAGTAAACCAAAGCTTATTGAAATAACTGGAAGATTTCTCTTACGTAACTTCACATCCAATTGAATTCCCTCACGATCAACCCCTCGTATGCGTCATTTGGAAGCACGTGGTAAGTGAAACGAAAATTCCATTCAAAAAACTTCATGGCACAAAAGACGTTTGAATAACTTGCTGTACTTGTAGGTATGTAAAGGAATTAAAAAACGCTTTAAAAAATAACCCAGACCGTATTGAATGAAAGCCCGACAGCATATTTACACTCATTGCCAAAAGCAAATCAACCCCTCAAGGCAAACAGTCATGTAAGGGCTGCATGTGGCACAGCGGGAGATGCGTGTAAATTTCTAAGCCATTACAATGTCACTGGGTCCTTGGAAGCACCCTAAAAACGTGCAGGCAAGAAGACATTGAAGTCGAAGGACAAGGGTTGTGGTTCAGGTTGAGCTTCCCTCTGAGGGGAGGCAAGGGTGCACAAGTAAGCTAACCATAACATGAATGAGTAAATCACAATTACACCACACACACAAACTCTTACACACTTGGATGCTGGGGGATGATTGGGCCTGCGTTGTGGAGGTAGCAACAGCACAGAGCTTTTTAGATCAGAGCTTTCGCAATATGGCGATCATAAGACACAACAAATAGCTGAACAGTTAAAAGCTCTATCTAAGGATAGAAAATATTATTGAAAACAGCAAATAGATGCGACACGTTTTATTTATCCCCATTATTTGAATAGAGAATATCTTCGGGGATTTCATCACTAGATAAGATGCCTGCTTATAAGATACAACAGTAAGAAACAACAAAAACTTGGCAAATACACGGACAAATCTCTTCTGAAAGATAAGAATATTTAAAGATTTTTTATACATGCATAATGTATTTATCATTTCTTAAATATGTAAATATTATGATTTATAATACATGCTTAAGAACCTCTAGTTGTGTCTTAACTAAGCCTACAGGCAAACAGCTATAATAATTAAGGTTTAATTAATTTTAATTAATCTCAATATGTAATCGAAAATTTAAGTAAAGTGGAGTCAAGTAAGAAAAACTTCTTCATACGGTTTTTGTCTTGTTTAGCTGGAGCCCTGAAGCTTTTTCTCTTTGTTAAGCAGACATCACAGAGCAATGACTAAAGTGTGGCGGATATGTCGCTCAGAGAGTTAATGCTCGTAAATTCACTCTCTTTACTGCACAAGGCGAAGATCAAGAATATGCAAATAGGTTTAACAAAATGTGCATCTCTCTCACACAATAAGTTGTGGGAGGGTGGGCCCAGTGCCATGAATGAATGCCATGTGCGGAAGTGTGTCAATCAGAGGGCAAGGCAGAGTAAAAGAGAGAGAGAGAGCGAGAGAAAGAGAGAGATAGCACACATACATGCATGTATAAGTGTGGCATGCAGCATGCAAGCTACACACCGTTTGGCACACATTTTGCAGCTGGCAAAGTTTTCGCGCCAATTTGGGCGACCATAAAAATGTGTAGCAAGCAAGTACGCAACAACAAATCGCAATAAACAGCAGCTAGAGCAACAACAAATAACAGGTTTACAACGGCTGACTGACCCACTGGTTGCCATGGTGAAGGTTGCAATTGAAGCAGCAGAAGCCAACACACACACACACACACAACAACAACATCACTAACAACAACAAATAACACAATGCAACCAGTCGCTCGTGTAAAAAAAATGCAAGCAACAACACGTTTTCCGAGCTGTGTTTTTCTTTTGTGCTTTGCTTTAGTTTTTCGTTTTATGGCAAGCGTTTTATGCTAATTAGTGGGGGCGGGGCACACAACCAGACGTCCACAGTCTTGTTTTGACACCAAATTACGTTACGCTTTGTTCTTTGTACCAAACACAAAGCATTTTAGATATCTAATATATGTATACAATAATATACGTACAGACACTTTATTTATTATGCTAATAAACAGAGTGCTTACCCAGCTGACGTTTGGACAATTCTTGCACTTTTGCATGAAATACACACAAATCTATAGCCAATTATAGTTTTCGTTTTGCTTTTCCAAGAATTTTTAGGGCAATCACAGTGAAGCACGCAGGTGTAGCTGAAGACTATTTAACTATTCTACCATTCGCTTTTGCTTTGATATTCTACACACAGGGTTGCATGTTGGCGCGCGCGCACAGAGCAAATAGTGCTGTAAATTGACGCTGGAAAAAAGCGCCACGTTTGAAACATATTGTTATCGACTCGTTTTTTGATTATTAATTGATTTTCGGGTTTTCGAATGTGCGTAGCTCAGCAAAAATATACTGTAAATTTGTTGTCATGGAAAGTTAGGTGCAGAAATAGTTTACAATGCTATACTGTAAAATACATTAATATCAAAGTTATCGATAACAAATAATTTTTTGGACAAAAATATTTATTTGTATACTAAATGCAAGTGTTTTCTACATATCCTCGACGCTGTATTTGTAGGCCTCATCCTGCGCCGCTCGTCGCTCGTTCTGTTTATCGAACCAGCGTTGTTCATACCCATTGGAACGATCCACACCATCCCACCGATAACCAGGCCGTATGCCATATCGATTCTCTGGATAGCTGCCTTCGTAGACGGGTAGGACAGGTTTATCCGAATGCTGTTCTCGTTTCTTGCGCTTCTGTCGCATGTACTCTAGCATGGGATCATCCGCATGTTCCTGTTCGCGCAGGTGTCTCTCCAAATCCTCATCGTTGGCATAGCGAGCCACAGGCTTTGCCGCCTCGTGCGCCATTTCCTCATGCCTCGCTTTCTGCTCCTCTAGCTGCTTGAGCCCCCTGCCCCAGCGATCGTAGAGCTGCTTTTTCTTCTGCTCATGCTCCTCTTTGCGCTGGCGCTCCGCTGGATCCTCCGCAGCCGCATCACGTGCGCGTCGTCCACGTCGACCCGTACTGCGCATTTGCACCTCTGCATCCCGTCCGGACACCTCGCTGGACATTTGCTCAAACATACGTCGCTCCTCGCGCCTTCGCTCATCCGTTTCGGTCTTCAAGGATTGAGCATCTTGCAGACCCGCCTTTTTTCCATCCAGCGTTCTCATCTGTGTTTGAGTTTTCGGCTTGTGAGTTGGCGGAGGCGATGGCGTTCGACTGGGCTCCTCCTTAGCCCATCGGCTTTTGCGTTCCTCTTTTTTAATTCTGACTGGCGACGCTTGTCGACGATCTCTGCTGCCTGATCGACGTCGTCTGGGCGGACTTTGATCAGAATTTCTTCTCTTTCTCGGCGGCGATTGATCAGAATCTCGTCTCTTTTTCAGTTGATTCAAATCTTGACGTCTTCTGGGCGGGCTTTGATCTGCTTCCATTCTCCTTCTAGACGGCGATTCATTACGCCCTCGTCTGGGCGGACTTTGATCTGCGTCTTTTCTCCTTCGAGCTGGAGATTGGTCTGCATTGAAACGTCTCCTTGGTGGGCTTTTATCATCATCTCTTTTTCTCCTAGGTGGACTTTGATCATCATCTTTTCGCCTCCTGGGTGGACTTTGATCATCATCTTTTCGCCTTCTGGGTGGACTTTGATCATCATCTTTTCGCCTCCTGGGTGGACTTTGATCATCATTTCTTTCACTCTTGGGTGGTCTTTGATCAGCATCTCTTCTCCTCCTGGGTGGGCTTTGATCATCATCTCTCCTCCGAGGCGGCGATTGATCCAAGTTTCGCTCTCTCTTGGGTGGATTTTGATCAACACTTCGTCTTTTCCTCCTATTTGGCGATTCACCCGACTCAGGTCGACGTCTACCTGGACTCTGATCCGAGTCAAGACGCTTTCTGAGCGGGCTGCGTCTCGTTGGGCTTTGGTCGAGTCGGCGTCTGTCGATTGCCGGCGGACTCAACTCTCGGCTGGTGCTACGCTTCTCTATCTTGATTTTCACAGCAAACTCCGGCTCCTGTTTGGTTTTCATTGTTGACGCCTTACGACCCCACAAATTCGCTTCCTCAATCTCATCTGCGGGCTCGCGTTTGATTCCGTTTTCCTCGGCCTCTGTCTTGGGCTCATCCTTAACTGCGATGTTGCGCCACTTGCTGCGCATAGCATCAGGATTCTCCTCAATGTATTCGCCCACAATTTGTGGCGCATCTTCGCCACCTAGCAACAAATCCTCGTCTATTTCCTCGTTATTTGCATCGTAGGCATCATCGTCAATAATTTTGACTTTAGCGTGTGCCGACTTTTTGTGCTTTTTTTCCTTTTTCTTCTTTTTCTTTTCTTTGTCACCGGACAAATATTTTTTCAAATATTCCTTTTGATTGATTAATTTTGCATTTTGTTGGGACATTTTCCAGTTTATTATTTTTCAACACGCTCAAACGTTCGAGCAGCTGGCTGAACAGCCTATCGATAGTTATGCAGCTTAAATCTAGCCTATCGGTAATTATCGCTTATATAAAGCAGAACGCATTCCAATAAAAATAAAACAAATTGGTTAGAATGCAAGACTCATTTATTACAATTTTTAATTTATAAATTTCATGTATGTGTTTGAAGATCGAAACGATAGTTTATATATCGAATATTGTAAGCAAGTACTTTATATGTATTTTATTATTTATTTTATAAAGTTGGCAACGCCAAGTATTCAACACATGTTAATTTGTTGCATGTGTTGGTATTTCCTAATAACAAATATGGTATTTTTTAACCACCTCGAGTTCGGTCTCACAACTAACGAATCCTATTACTTTTTCGTGCGCCGCTATTAATTTAATAATTTAAATAATACACTAAACAAACACAAAGAAAATAAGTGTTCTTGATTTTGTTAAATTTTTATTAATTTGAGAAATCAGTCAATGGCAAATAAGCAGCTATAGTTGCATCGGAGCAAAAATATAAACGCCGCCGCTGAGGCGGTGGCGTCGGTAACTGTTTTTCTTTAACTGAGTGTAAGTAAATCACAGCCAATTAAAATAAAGTGACAGAGAAATCGTTAGGTAGTGGACACATACCCATAAACGCGCACAAATCTGTATGTAGCTAAGTTCTCGATATTTTCATCGAACCCCTTTTTTTTGCGTTGCGTACAGACAAGCAAAGCACATGACGCGATAAACGAGAGACTACGAATTTTGACAGTAAAGCGGAGGCAAACAAAAACAGAGAGAGTCATCAAAACCAAAAAGAAAACAAATAAATATGTATATATGTATAATATGAATCTACTGCAATTTTAAGAGCCTATTAAACTTGGAATGTTGCTTTTTTTTACGTGATATGCAGTTATTTTTCAATGAATTCAGCTTGAAATCCACATTTAAAGTGAAATTTATAGCGGAACGTGCAGGTCACTTACTCTCCCAGTCAGTGCGGCGGTCCCTGCATGCACACACACACACACATGCTATACATGGACAAGCTCTCTCGTCTGAGAGAGAGTAAGGGAGCGCACGAGAGCGTAAGATTATTTTGAACGTGCAGCATTTCAGTTGGGATCTACTTGGACTATTCTCAGTTTGAAAGCAACACGCACCGGGCGCAGTTCGTGCCGTTGATTTAATGCTGACTCGCGCAATTATAAGAAAATAAATAAAGCTCGTGTGCCGCCCGAAAGAAATCAAAATTCAGTTGCCTCCTGAGTTTTACAGTTGTGTGTGTCAGTTGATTGTTTTTGTATTTTTATTTCAATTTAATTGCGCGTTCATGCGTGTATTCGTATGTGTGTGAGTGGGTGATTGTCTGCTCCCCCGTTTATTTAAATTTCAATTGCCTTTTGTATGTTGCTACGGTTTGGGGCTTGCATTGCTGTTAATTGCTTGCATTTGGTTGCAAGTAACCCCAAAAATAGTACAATTTTTATTTACCGATTGACCAATTGAAAGATTTTGTGCACGCACTCGTTGCTGCCATAAAGAGAGCAATTTGCTATATTTAGAACGCCCGCAAGGGCGCCTGCCGTCAGTTTTGCACCAGCTAACCCGTCCTAGAAATGAACGGTACTGGATGTTTTCTCTTACAAAATAAGCCTTTAAAAAAGAGATCGCGCTAAGACCCAAATCTCGCGGCCGTTGGCCTACTAACCAAAACTTGTCCCAGCTGACACACACAAGCAAACAGCTACAAGCGAGAAAGAATTTTTTTTGTATTGTACAATTTATATATGAATGTGTCTGTTTATCTTTGCCCCCTCGAACTGCTTTAGGTTTTTTCTGTCGTGGTCAAAACGAAAGCGCGTTACGCCAGCAGATCAGCAGCAGCACCAGCGGCCTCAAAGAAAGGCAGCGCGACAGCAGCGATCGTGAGTGTGATTTGGCGAGCAAGCTAGAAAGAGAAAGCGCATGCTATTCAATGTAAATGTGAAGCGTGCGTGTGAAAAAGAGTGCGAAAGAAAATAAAAGTTGAAAAAAAAAAAAAAAAATAAATAAAATTATAAAGCAGCGTAGATAGCGCAAAAGTGAAAGAACCAAAAAAACAACTTAACAACAAATCAAACAAAATGAGTGCCAACAATCGACGACGTAGCAACAGCAGCAGCAACAGCAGCAATCGCCAATTGGCCACAGCTGACCGAATGAATGCAGCTATGGGTGTACGCGATGTCGGCGTTGGCGGAGATAGCGGATTTAACAAATTTGACGCCAGCAGCGTTGACGACGCCAGCATAGGGGAGCTGCTTGAGATGCCGCGCGTGTGTCGCTGTTGTTGTAAAGGCGACATGGAATTGCTGAGCCTGTTTGAGGCCAGCGATGAGGCAGACAAACAGCAGACAACAAAAAATCAACGCCGACGCAAAGCACCAACAACTCCAACAACTGCAGAAGCAACACAACAGCAACAATATCAACAGCGCAAAAGTGATAATCCCGTGGAATATGCGCTCAGCTGTGCGCATAGCAGCATGGACACTGTGCGAGAAGAGATGATCGTTTGGATGCTCAATGTAAGTACAGTAGCAAATAAAGCCTAATTTTCTCTATTTGTATGTAAGGCATTGCTTAAGACGGGGCCCATCAGAATAATAACAGTTATAATACATAAATACATAAAAAATATTCCTTGAGGTTGGCCAGTGCTGTCATTTGAGCTTTATTTGCACCAAATCTACCCCAAATCTACCTCAAATTAAAAAGAGCTATTAGTGGCAGGAATAGTGATCGTTATACAGGTGTTTGGCTTTAGATTGGCTTAAGCATGGAACAAGTATTTTATGCTTGGCGTAATTTGTTGCTGTTTATTATTGAACGGTACGTTCTTTAGCTTATTTACTATATAAATGGAAAAGCGGCGTTTAAGTCAGCCTCTGTTGTGAATGCAGCTTTCTTAATGCTCTCTGAGTATTGTATTGGAAGTAAATATGTATGTAGGATGCACTAAAAGCTAAATCTAATTATTATTTTTCAAAGCTTGTCAATGTTTTAAAAGTTTTGCGCTAAGAGACTTTTTGCCTGTCATGTATTGTTTATGAATGTGTGTGCGAGCTTGAGCTTGAGCTTGAGCCTGTGTCTGTGGGTGTGTGTACATTTTGTGCCTGCGCTGCATTTTGATAATTCGGGCAAAACTTTGCTGTTATTGTTGTTGTTGGTGCTGTCGCCCGCTCTCTGTCCCTCACTCACTCTCTTTGCTCTGTTTAATTTTTAATGTGATTTATATGCCGCACATTGTGACTGACTCGGCACGAACCAAAGAACATATATGTATATGTATATGTGCACATGTGCGTATGTGTGACTGGAAGAGGGATTTGACTGACTGCCTTTGGCGTGCCTCTTTCTTGGATTTCTGCCAGCCAGCCAGTCAGCATTCATTTAATTTGTTGTGGCTGTTGTTCGTATATGGTATTAGCATTTGCCATTTGTTGTTTGTCCGCTCTTAAATTCAATTAACATCTCTTTCATTTCATTAGTTTTGTGGCACTCTTGTACTTAAAGTAGATAATGATGTTGACTTTGTGGCTGTTAATTGAATGATATGTGTGATATCTCAATGGTATCGTATTTCATAATTTACAATTGCAATTAAGGTTGAAGCAACTTAAAATAATTACCGTTAAAAAGCCACACTAACAGCTTAAACTAGGAACAAGTTTTTTACTATTTGGACTGTTCCACAAATGTGGATTTAAGATATCATTATACAGCTTTTCGCTGTTGGCCATTATTTCCATTATCCATTAAATATAATATAAAATATAATGACAAATATAATATTAAATATAATGACATAAATATAATGTTATAATTCTACTGCCTTTTGTTTACAAATTTATGTGAGACGTAAGAGGTTTTTATACCCAGTAAGAATTTATATAAAAGGGCAAATAGGTTCTTGTAACGCCATGTTGGTAGATCAATCAGAGTCAATCTTGTTATATATAAAATAACAGACATATTTCACATATTTTCTACAAAAAAAACAATTCTTAAAATATATATTTTGATACACTTCAACGGTAGAAAAGAGATAAAGAATATATATATGCATATGTAAATATATTTGGAATACACGGTATTTCTATGGCGCGCACTCTGAGCTTGTTTCTTGTTTTATTTCTTATATGGTTCCCCTGATTAGCCTTTTTGTTATTTTTAATATTAAAGCTCCATCGCGTGCCGAGCCGTTCACCTTCTACCACCCTAACGCACCCCTCTTTCTCTCTCCCTATCGTCCTCTCTCTCTCTCTCTCTCTCTCTGTGCAATGTGTGCCATAAACACGCATAGCTCAAGCTGAGCTTTTCTTGTGCCACTGTGCACAACTGCCCTCAAAAGAACTTAGAAGGCGAATGGAGTCAACTCAGCGTTACTTTCCGGTCAATTAAAACTATAGTGGAGCCTGCCTAGTGTGGATTCGTATAGTTTCGATCAATTTTTCGATTTAATGAATAACAAAATTGTTTGGGATTCATGCACGTTCAAAAATGATTGTTAAGGCTTGTAAACTTTTCGAAAATGTGTTACTGTCCGGCTCTGTCCGCGTCTGTGCTACGGAGACTATACTGTACTGCGAATGCGTATGCGACTGCGACTTGGCCTTAGTTCCCACTAGCTGCATTTCATTTCTTTTTCAGCAATACGGCACCCCCTCTATATTTAAATATACTTACATACACATATACATATATGTTTGTACTGTTTTGGCTGAGATCGGGTTTGGGTTGCGGCAACAATTATTCATACTCATTACCAATAACGCGGTGGGCTCGACGTCAGGCATGGCTATAACCGGTTTCCTTTGAGAGAATGCGAGAGAGAGAGAGAGAGAAGGGGAGGGGTTAGTGGAGACCCCCCGGCCTCGCTTTTTGAAACCCGCATTGCTAAAATGATTTGGACCCACAGTATATGTGAAAATGTGTGTGTGCGTGTGTGTGGCCGCAGCTCAAGGTGTTGCATGAAAAAGTGTTTGACCTTAAGTCGCGCGTTTCGTTTGCTATACAATTTGGCTTGTAATTATTTTCATTATTTATGATTAGTCGCATTATGCACATAAAGCTCTACATATATATATATATATATATATATATATATATATTTTTTTTTTTATATATACAACATATATAATTGAAATAAGTTCATTTGAGAGACGTGGCCGTACACGGTACAAATTCATTTGCATTTTCAGTACACCGAATAACTTTACACTAATGGTTATTTCCAAGGTAGACGTCATTGAAGTTTCGTAAAGTGAAAGGGGCTGATCTTTAATGCAACACTGCTTGGCTGCAGTGTAGTGTGTGTGTTGCATGTGTAACAGGAAAAAATTTGGTAAAAACCAAACATTTAATATGTTTGCCTGAGGAAAGTCAATGTTCGATTTATTATATAATGAATAGTAGCAATTTTTTTAGGTAGTAAATTGTTATATTTATTATTAGACGCGAACAATATTTTATGAAATTTTGTTTAATAATTTGTTAAGCTTTTATAGTAAGACACTTATATTTTGAAATTAAAAATAAAATTATTAAACTTTTAGATATTGTCATATTTTTTAAAAGACAGCTAATATACATGTAAGAATCGAAATATAGTTTCTTCAAAGTTAACTGATGGGAATAGAGCCTTTTGAGCATCTTTTTATGGCAACAAAATTGTAAAATCGAGTTTGAATTTGTGATAAAAAAAATAAGAACAAAAATCATTAGGCGTGTAACGATTTAATTTAATGACGATCATTCTGATCGCATAACCAATGGATAATAAGCCTGAGTGTGCGTTTGAGTGCGACTGAAAAGTTAACTGTAAGAAATCCAGAAGGAAGCACATATTTTACTTAAGCTTTCTCTTAGAGCGATAATTGAGTGTGCTTTTGATGTGCCCTTAGTGAGTGAGTCTCTCCTTCAATTTCTCTCTGATTCTTTGCTCAATTGCAAATTGGCTTGAGTGAGATCAGCCGGAAAGCGCTCTTCTTGTGAACTCAAGTGCATATCAGGTGCGCTCTCACTCTCATTGTGGTCCACATTGAGCGCTTTGTATACAAAACGAATTGCTGCATTTATTGCAACGTTTATACGTGCGAAGCATACGCAATATTTATTTATCGTTGATTAGTGAGCAACATTTTAATTGTTATAGCAATTAAACTAGGCAAGCCGCAATGAAACTTAATTGTTTCGGACATTGCCGTTAACAGGTTTTATGGCAATTGCGAAATCTGCCCAAGCAGCTAAGAGCTATCATATATTTCAGCCAGCTTATTGGATCACAATAAACAACAAATGATGACAATCCAATCTAACAAGCGAAATGCCTTATCAATGCTGTTAGCTGCATCATACTATATGTCTGTATATATTCAACTATTTGTAAACATAATTGAAATCAATCAATAGCTGTTCAATGCCCTCTCTTTGTATTTCTCAATGCCTCGTTTGCCTTCTTTGCTGATAATAAAAAATTGCGAAATCCAAAAAATTAAAAAAGAAAACAAAAAAAAACACAATTTTTATTCTGGCGGCAAGTGCCGCAATTTGTCGGTCTTGCATATGCCTTGATTTTACCATATTAGGCTGGGAGCTTGTAACTAAATGTTATCTTCAGACACACGCGCACACAGAGAGACAAATATACACACACGCACACATACTTCCTATCAACTAATCCAATTTAGTTATAAAAAATGAAATATTTTGGTAAACAATTCGCCTTGTTTATTATTTACCTAGAGATGGGCTCGTGATCAAAAAACGAACAACACGTGACCTTAAAACCATTGTGAATAAATACGTGATAGATCTATGTACATAATATAGTGGATTTATGGCTAAACTAATTAATAACTCATGAGCTTTTGTGTTAAAACCAATAAAAATAAATTGTACGCGACCAGGGGGTATACAAAAGTATTTGTTATCGCTAGATGGTCTATATGAGATAAATGGAAAACTATATCAAATAGTTGCTAGTGGAATAAATATAATAAAATACTTAAACTAAAGTTTCTCCAAGTTTACGTGAGTATCTTATCTTTTCTTTTTATTTATCATTCGACAGTATGTATTATAAACGTTAAATTCTTTATATATATATAATTATAAATTATATATATTTAATTATATATATTTTTCATTTATTTGATAAGGAACTTGGTTAAGCGCTCTGTAATCTCTGAATTGTGACAATTTTTGTTTGTAATCATCACTCAGCTTCCAAATATATAAATAATTTTCATATATAATTAATTTTTTTATTATTATTATTATGAATTTATGAATCGAATTCATTTCGTAGCTTTGATTTTAACATTTCTTTTGGTCTCTGCCATGATTACGATAGGTGAAATGTCTTGGGGGCCTTGCGTACACAAACAATTGTACGATAGATAGTCTGTTGATAGAGATAAGCATGGAATATAAATATATATAAATTATATATATGAAATTATCGGCTTATCAATTGTGCTCTGCTTCATGTGGTAATTGTATTTGACATTGCGTTGGTCACGTT